ATTCCTTTGCAGCTTTGACCTTGGATGGAAAGATTGCAATTGCTGGTGATAAGCTCTTTGCCTCTACCGGGAAGACATCTGTGTTTGAAGAAACAGAAGCAACTTGCCAAGCAGCTCATGGTTCCATTGCATCACCAAGAAACCTGAACGAGAACAAAGCAATTCAGAGGATTGTGGGACACTATAATACTTATGCCTATCTGGGCATCATTGAAAGCGATGATCCTGGGAAATTCCATTTCCGGAATGGGGATTCTTTGAATTTTACCAACTGGTATAAGAATGAACCTTCAGGATCTGAGAAATGTGTGGAAATGTACCACGATGGCACTTGGAATGACAAAGCGTGCGATACATATCGCCTCACCGTCTGTGAATTTTAAGCCCAACCCCACCACAAATCTTAAGCATGCGGGTTTATTTTCAAAGCTCCATATAACTTTTTTTATATATAGCTTTTTATTAAGTTTTGGAAAGAAGATAAAAACGAATAAAAACTAAAATGAAATACAGAAAAGAAAGAAAGGAAAAGAGAAAAAAAGAGAAAGACAAAAAGTGTAAAAAAAAAAGAATGAAAAGAAATAGAAAGAAGTAACTTCTGATTTTCTTTGGGGCAAATATAAGTACATATAAATAAAATTACCTCTTACTGTATAGTTACAAAAAGAAAAACTCTCTTTTTTCTATTATCTATTTTTTCCAATCTTCAAAGCTATAAATCATAAGTTCATTTTTTTCTGTTTTATGGAAAGAGTCTATAAGGGATTTCTAGTCAGCAATAAAGGTAAATATTATTTTTCTCTAATCAAGGAAATCAATTTGACCATCTCTGCAAGTTCCACCATCGTCACCAACCATTCCCCCATTGTGGGTAGTGCCAAGTCTTTCCACTTTGGGGCATATAATAATCTTGCTGCAGTTATCATATATAAAAACAAAGTTCCATGACTTTGTTTCCAGCTGTCTGTCCATCAGTCCCAAATGGAAAGCCTCTGGTTTCAACTGTATATTAGTCTTTAAGAGCTTGAGAATTAGTGTATGTTTGTATCCAAAACTTCCTGGCTTTTTTACATGTCCCCCAAACATGATAAAATGATCCTTCTTGTTTTTCACATTTCCAACATAAATGGGAAGTACCTATATGCATTCTAGACAATTTCTCTGGTGACATATACCATTCTATAAAAGTTCTCTTTAACGTTAGAACATAGTGAAAATTTCAAATCTTTCAACCACATATTTTCCCATTGTTCACTTGTATATTGTAACCAAAGTTTTTAGCCCATTTTATCATACATTCTTTTACTTGTTCTTCTTCTGTTTCAAATTTCAATAAATGTTTGTACATTTTGGCAGTAACATGTTCATCGTTTGTACACAGTTGTGTTTCCAACTAGTCTTACATTGTTCATGAAATCTTTTGTCTAAACCTTTCTGTACATAAGAAAACCATTGACAGGTACTATCCCTCTGCTACCAGATCTTCTCTTGACTTTATTTTACATTCTACTTGAAAAAATTCTAATATATCACAATAAGTTAACCATTTATGTTTGCTCATAATTTCTCATCTATACAATGCTACTTATGCTGAGAGCCAAATCAGATAAACCCAATTCTCCTCTTTTCTTTGCATCTTGTAGTACCTTATACTTAACTCATGTTTTTCCCCCTTCCACAGAAATTTAAATATGTCCTTCTGCCACTGTTTAAATGGTACATCAGTTGCCAAAGCAGGTATTGTCTGAAACAAAAATAACATTCTAGGTAAAACATTCATCTTAAGCACAGAAATCCTACCCAACAATGACAATTGTACTTTGTACCATTTTAACATATTTTTTGAACTTCATTCCATGTCTTAACATAATTATTTTGAAATAACATACAATTCATATTTATCATGGTGATACCCAGGTATTTTACCCTTTTCTCAATCTTAAAACCCATTTTATTCATCAATTCTGGTTGATCTTGTATTTTCATATTTTTTGTTAAAATCTTTGTCTTCTGTTAGCATCTTAAAACCTGCTAAAAATAGTTCACCAAATTCTTTTAATTTACCCATTAATATTGCAATTCCCTTATAAGTCTCTTTTTCCATCTTTACATCCCCAATCTTCTCATCCTGTTTTATGTCTCTATTTGATACTTCAAGAATTAAAATAAACAGGCTGGGGGACAATGGCACCCTTGTCTTGTTCCTTTTTGCATCTCACATGGTTTAGTTAGATCTCCATTAACAATTATTTGTGCTTTCTATGAAGTATAAATTGATTTTACCCATTTTATAAAATTCTCTCCAAGATTCATATCTTCCAAAACTTTAAAGAGGAAAGTCCAGTTCAAAGGCCTTCTCTGCATCTAAAAAAATCAATGTGGCTTGCAATAAATATCATCTCACTGTCTGTGAATTTTAAGCCCAACCCCATCACAAATTTTAAGGCACAGAGAGAACTGCTCCTGTCTGTGCTCC